GGGATGCGGCTGTGAAGAACTCCTCGGCCCTGCGGGCCGCCATGCTCCGTGAGGTTTTGCACGAGTGTGCTCGGGTGGAGGGAGTGTTTTCTGTTTCTGGCCACTGGGATATGGAGAAGTTTTTTGACACCATCGACCCAAGTAAGCTCATCGGCTTGGCTCAGGCTGTCGACTACTCCTCCTTGCTCCTCTACCTGGGCCTCCTGATCCACACCTCCCCCAGACTCCTCGAGGTCCAGTCCCTGGTGTCGGGTGTGATGCAGGCTGGCCAGTCCATTTTAGCTGGATGTTCCCAGTCCCTGCCATGGATAAAATGTTATCTCTACGACATCCTGGAGGCGGCACATTGTCGTGTCCCTCGTGTCCCGATTTCGGCGTATGTGGACGACCTTACCCAGTGCATCCAAGGCTCTGTGCAGGACATCATTACCAAACTGGTGCCAGCTGCGCGGGAACTTTGTGATGTATTGAAACGTCGTGGGTGTAAGATCTCGTCGAAGTCGTGTGTCGTCGCCTCTTCTCGGCAAGTTGGTCGCCCCTTTCAGGCTCTCTGTGATGAGCTGAACATTCCGCTTAAAGTTGTTGATTCTGTGAAGGACTTGGGAGTTGGGACCACGGCGGGGAGGAGGAGGACGATGTGGAAAATGACTCAGCGCAAGGAAGAAGCTAGGCTTCGCAGTAAGAGGCTCACGTTTCTGTCTCATGTCAATCGTCGTGCTCGCAAGTTGTTTAAGCCAGGAGTGGTCGCTGTTGGCACATGGAGCCATCAAGTCCTCGGCACTCCGCCCTCGCGCATGCGTTCTCTTCGCGCCCAGGCCGCTAAAGCGACAGGACGATGGCATGCAGGCTGTTGTGCCACTACCCTCCTTGCTCTTGATCATGCTATGTCTGACGACCCAGCGTGTAAGATTCGATTTGAACATCTTTTGGAATGGAGCCGAACCTACCGTGTCCTCGACCCTAGCCAGGTTTGTAGCGTGAACAAAGTGTGGCCCGAGTTGTTAGCTAAGCTGCGAAGTGTTCCGCCTGTTCACCGTTGGCGTCATGTGCGGGGACCCATCGCGTCTGTCATCATGTGTGTCTTGGAGCTCAACGGGAACCCACTGGAGCCCTGCACGTGGAGATTCCCTGATGTTACCCTCCATGTTGATCGACGTGATTTCCCGTATTTTTTGTGGAAGACGGTTGAACAACAAGTGGGCAGTATGCTTTGGGTCCAAGCCTCTAAGACGTATGGGGGACAGGGTCTGCATGAAGGCGTTGATTTTACTGTGTTGCGTAGGCTGCGGAATTCGCTGTCTCGGCAAGGCGACCTCGACGGCGTTGCTATTTTGAACCACCTTGCCTCTGGTGGCCAGTGGCCAGAGCAGCGCCTCAAGGACAGCGGCTATCTCAGCAATGGTGTATGCCCTCGCTGTGGAGTTCGTCAGGAGACTCCGTGGCACAGATACTGGGGCTGTCAAGATAATGCGAATATTGATGACGACCACATACACCTCACTAACCATATGTATGAAGATTCCCTTGTTGGTGTTCCTGAATCGGAGTGTTTCTGGACTCGTGGCTTGGTTCCCCTGGGATGGACGGTCGGAGTGTTGCCCCCCGTCGAAACTAAGGTTTGGGCCTGGGGATCCTTTCATGAGGCGCTTCGTGAAGGTGTACCGATTCATGGGGGAATATTCGGGAGTGACGCTTCTGGAGGAGAACATGCGAAGGATTGGAGGTTGAGGAGATGCGGGTGGTCTGTTGTTCACCTTCAACCAGGGGCCCTCCAGGTGTCCGGCGTGTTGTGTGGAACCCTTCCTGGAGCTGAGCAAAATTCTCCCCGTGCTGAATTGTATGCTGTGATCCAGCTGTTGCGTTATGTCGTCGGTGATGCAGTGTTGTACACCGACTTTCTGCCAGTTGCTCGTGCTTTTGCTCGGAAGGATGTCGAAGTCGATCACTCATGCATGTTGGACCTGTGGCAGCAGGTCTGGGACCAGCTTGGCAACAGAGATGGCCAGCTGGACGTCCACTGGTGCAAGAGCCACCCCACCTTCAAGCAGGTCTCCGCCCACCGCCTGACCCCCCAAGGATTAGTCGCCAACGGCGTTGCCGATCACTTTGCGGGGGAAGCTGCCAAGTGGGGGGCCCTGCCTGCTGAGAAGGTCAGGGAAATCCATAATGTAGATGAAAATTGTTTACGTGTAGTTAAGCGACTCCTCGCTGTCTCCAGGCATGTTTCGCTCATGTGCCCGAGGACTCGTGAGGATCGTCTAGGTAGGGAGCATCACAAAGAGCGAGGCCCCTGTTCGAGCAACCTCCGCAAGGCGAGATTGCGTGAGCAGGGCCATGATGTGTGTAAAGTTGCTGGATCCTTTAAGTGCTCACGTTGTCTGTGTAGATTTCCTGCCGTCCGAGGGGAGCTGGCCAAATTCTGGCCTAGCCAGTGCCCTGGAGCGCTGGTGTTGGGGTCCTCGTCGTCTGGCAGGTTGGGCCCTTCGACTTCCCCTGGCCC